TAATATGAGGAAGAGATTAATAATGTTGAATGTTAGGTGGAAGCTATTAAGTAGCAGCAGTAGCGTGTGCCATATTCATTTAGCTGATAATAGCTTCTGTGGCAGAAAATTGCAAGAACACTAAAATTGGGAGCCTTACGGAGAAGGTTCAAGGCTGGAGAACATAGCTGTACAACTCCTTGCCTCACGTTGCAAAAAGCTTAAGCTGCAAGTCCTACCATAATCTCCCCCCCAAACAAACTGCACACAGCCCTAAATCCCAAATCCGGACATTGCAATAGGAAAGAGCATGTATGTTCACAGACCGAACTGCGCAAGGTGGCGCATGTTTGACAAACGCCTCAACCTTTCAGCTAAAGCAAATGATCATGAAATGACATTGGTACTTATTCGGGCCCCTGAATTAAACACGTATAATAATCGCATATTAACGCAGTTTCCACTTGATCTTTCGCGTTCTTTTCCATTGGCTCTCCATTATGAGAGTGCGTCACCCGCCTCTTATCATGGAATTGCATTCGGCCTCGCTCGGATCCTTCCCAAAGCCAACCCTAAATCCTAGTAAGGTTTGGGCCAGCGCCCTCCCCGGGACCATCACGTGGAAATATTCTCAAAGCATGCCCGGGATTAAATTTAACGGTGTCTGCAAATTAGATACAGACTTCCTGAAATTTGGTTGTTAATCATGGGATCTACCTTCCTGGAACTGGACTGGAAAGTGTTTCTCCCCAAACGAACTGCAACAAGTAGCAACGCGGAACGCTTAGGCTGGCGGACCTTGCTCGCTGGCCGGTGGAGCCGGAGGCACTCGCATTCTCGGCGGCTGGCAAAGAGGAGCGCATCTTGGTGCATTTTTTCCATTATCCCAATATTGCTAGCTGCTAGAATTTCTGTTGCTGCATCTTATGTTCAGCGATGCAGCTTGCAGCCAACTCGGCAAAGCGACAGGTTCTGGCATTGCGCCTGGGCAACCAGTCCGCCCAGCACAGGGCCTGCATCGTGGCTCGGGAACTTAGAAGAAGGGTCTCTTCAGTTGGTTTACATGGCCTTTGCGACGAGAGTAGCAGGGAAGAAGCATATTAGTCGTACAGGTAGCATGAACCATACGTTCCTTGATCAAGGCGTAATGCGGCACTGGATAGTCTTTTAGGGCCTCAAAACCAAAGCACAGTGTTCCAGGTCTTCCCAACAATGGCCTGAAATTGGATAAGGGACTGCCAAAACACATTATGCAAGGTCTCTGCACTAAAGCCCGTGCAACAGTAACGCTCACGACATTGCCTCAGGCTTCTATATAATCCCAGTTTCCATGTNNCCATTATAGGGCCCTAAACCCTAAAGCCCTAAACCCTAAATAGTACTTTCCATTTCATTTTCCATTATCCCAATATAATCCCAATATATACCCTGTAATCCCTATATGACCGATATTATAAGGACCCCCCATAAATCGTTGCAAGTTCCTTTGCTCCGCCAAGGCCCGAGCTCACCCAGGCGAGACACACGCCTCCTGGGTGATGCGGGGTGCCGTGGCCTCAGCGCACAGAACTGGGCAGTTTTGGGGGTTTCCCAAAATTAGGGGTACCATTCTGGGTTTCCCAATAATAAGGACTGTAGTCTTTTGGGGTCTATATTGGGGCTCCCTTATTTAGGGAAACTACCTTTTCACGAAGTAGTTTCATTCGCCGCATTTACTACTGATGTGTATTCTGAGTTGGATGGGTGCCCGATACCTTTCAAGGGTTTAGGGTTTGGGGTTCAGGGTTTAGGGCAAGGGTTGCCAGCTGTTCACAATTGACTTTGCGGAGTTGGGAGGTGTAGGGGTGCCATTGGCGGTTCCTACTGCCTGAAGTCGGCAATCGGCCCATGGTACGAGCCGGTGAACCTCTCAACCACTTATGCGCTCTTGCTGCTATTCTTTTACTTGTCCCCGGCATTCCCCGAGTGCGATCCCACTTGCTTGTGTGTGGCAGGTTATGGAATTCCTGATGGGTGACCCAGAGGTCGACGTCTCACATGACATGCAGAATACACCCATCCAATATCTGCTGACAGGCACAAAGCTGCCTTGATCAACTTGCATGGCTCCTCGTGCCCATGTCCGCGACTCAGACTTTGCTTGCTGCAAGCCCCGTCAGCCGTGGGGTCATTGCATGTGCGGGGCAGCAGCCGAAAAGCCAAACGCTGCCATCTCCACCGAAGGTATCGCCTTTTTGAAACCTCAAGTCTCCATGGACGACGATAACAAACTGGAACAACTCGGAAGACTCTCTCTGTTTTGCATACCCGGTACTTGCCTCAAAACAGAAGTGTTAGATCCTACCTACCCCCCTAAACCTCAACCTTGTTCTAGCACCCATGGGCAATTTTGTGGGGAGAGGCAGGACAAGCCTGGCCTAAAGGCTCAGTTAAGACTGTCTGGTAGACACGTCTAAGCTCCACCCCCTCAGCAGTGGTCCCTCTAGGACAAACAGATGCGTGCATGGTAACTTGCAACCCCATCATTTTGGAGGCCTGGAGAGTGAAAGGCCCTTTCGGCTCCTTCAACATTCCTACAAAACCCGTGGCAATTACACCTGTGCAAATTCTCAGGCTGAACCCTGATGGGGTTATGGCGGGCCGCACGAGGACGAACTTAGACGCAGTGGACCTCAACAGGCCACGTTTGCAGTTCTCTACAGCTGGGAGTCTCTCTGAAGCGAGTATTGAGTGGGCCTGAAACGGGAGCCGAAGTTTGAGAAACTCATGCTTTTTCCGGCGTTCCAGCCCGACAAGTACTGTAGGTATGCTTAGTCCTGCTCAGGCATCACCACGACGACAGTGCCCCTGAGACAAAGGGGCTCAAAAACGCACTCCAGGCCTGCGCCTGAGCTTGGAACATCTGAATATTTGGGCAGTTGAAGACACAATAGAGGTGTTGTTTTTGCGCCATTGGGCGTCCCATTTAAGATAAGTGAGAAGAGTGCAATAGCATTTCTCTTGAGTAGGGACCCCACAGAGACCTATAAGGCCTAAGAACACCCCCAAGTGGCCCTGTCCTGGCTTCTGATTTCTGAGGCCGAGGCTCAGCAGGGCGAGCTCCTCGCCTTCATCGACATCCACAGCCACTCCAGGCACAGCTTGGCTGGAGATGAAATGAATCCAACACATCCCAACAGTAAGAACCAAGACCCTCCTTGTACCCGTTTTAAGTCGAATTCTATGGTTTCTAATAGTGAGGTTAGGGTATCTGAGGTGGGTAGATGGATGCTTACTCCCATGCAGGCGGCGTGGGATCTTTGCCATTGCGAATGCCAGCGACGGAGATCGCCTGGTGTCACTCATGGCCTCGAGGAGTGCGGAGAGATGGGTAGGAAAGGAAGGCAAATCTATCTCAAGGTACAAGCGCCAAGCAGTGCAAGTGCTCCTGAGGACTCACCTCCTGGACGCTCCTGGCACAAGTCGCTCAGAGATCCGCGCACAAGACGTATGCCTTTGCGCGCTTGTCGTTAAGCTGGCTTGGGTGAAGTACCTGAAGTCGTGCACGCGGCTGCGCCGCAAAGCCTTGTCTTCTTGAAGCGTATGGCCACCAAGTTCAACAGTGACCTGGTAGGCTTTCTTTGTGTTCTCAGCCAGGCCGGTGTTGGACGTGTTGCTGCGGCCAGCCAGGGCTACAAGTACAGCGCTGCCAGCATGGTTTGGCATTTGGGGGGGGCCGGCCCGGAGCAAGTCATGCCTCCGAAGCTGCAAAAGGTCTGACAATCGAGTGTTCCCTGTGTGCCGGCTCCTGAGAGTGCAAAACCTCACCTGAGCTGCTGTCCCGACATTTCACCTTAGGCCAGGCACCTGGAGGCTGGAGGCGAGCACCTGCTACTACAGGAGAGGGTGCCAATGCAGCTAAAAACTCCCCCAGCTCCATACACAGTGTGGCGCAAGATGCTGCACGATATAGCAGGCTCAGGAGTCATGTTTTCGGTGCTTTTGTATGACCTCTCTGCCAGTCGGTCTAGACTTTGGCTTCGGGTGCAAGCAGGAGGTTGGAGTGTTGCCACCACCGATCTTTCCATTGTGGAGTTGAACCACTGCCGTTGCTACCGTCCAACCCTCTGCCGCCGGCAGCAGCAGCCGCAAGAGCAGCAACGACAGTAGTCACAACACGGCCATACCTTCTTCATGTGTGTCTGGCAGGACCTGGTCAGCGTCGGCCGGGCCATCTGCCAGATCCCCACAACCGTTTGTTGGGATACGGTGCGATCAGCTCTTCGCAGGTCACAAGCATCAACAGCAACGGAAGTATAGTAGTAGAAAGTAGCAGTAGCAATAACATGAAGCAATGGTGGCCCTATGGAGCGTAGACAACTGTTCGGTGGAAGTCTCACCATGCCGAGGTATGTCAATCGCAGATCTCTTGAACTCTGCCGATGAAGAACCAGCCGCCAACCCGGAGGACACCTGGTGCGGGTGCAACATTTGGAAGTTTTAGGGTTTAGGGAAACTCACACCAACAGGCAGAGAATCTTGAGCAGCCATCTAGAATCTCACGATGGGTTTTGTTGCAAGTGGGCTTTTCCTTGGGCCTGCTCAAAAGCATGGGTTCCACTGCACAGGGATCGCAAAGGATCCAGAAGCTTCCGTGAAGCATGGTGCAGGTCCAGGAGTCGATGTTCGCCGAAGGCGCAATCGATGCCGAGGACAACCCAGCAGGGTTTTTTGTAGACGAAAGTCGTGGTAGGGTTTTAAGCGGTAATATGTGTAACACAAGGGTTTAATCGGATTACGTATTCTTAGTAAGAGCAACCCTTCGAACGCCATAGATCTCCATAAATCTAATAAGCGAACAGTGTTGCAATCATGAGGCTACAAAAGTACCAGCAGGGTGTTAGTTCAGCGGAATCTATACCCCAACACAGCAGCTTCAGCATTATAAGGACTTTGGGGAAGGAACTAATCATGTTGCATCCTAGGCTCGCATACCTGGCAGTTTGCAGCAACAATGAAGAGCTCTCTAAAGCCTAACCTGTGAATCCTTGGGATGGCAAATTGCAAGGACGCTTAAACTGCGAATCCTAAAGCCCCCCTAGGCGTGAAACCCAAACCCCAAGCCCTTTCTCAGACTGCTTGGAGGCTTGACCGCTTGTACCCCTCTCCACGCCACTGGATGCACACCCAGCAGTGCCAGTGCCCGAGGGCCATGGTGCCAACCTCGGCCACTGAGGAGCCTTTGGCCGCTACGCCAAACATGCTCGGCATCCTGACACTCCCTGACCACAGTGTCGCTTGCCGAACAAAACCGCCACCAGTGTCGCAAGCGGGATGGTAGGAAGACCAAGAACCCTGAAACAAATCCAATCCACAAACCCTGGGATCTACAAAGCCTTTGTTTGTTTGATGCCGATGAGATGCGGAGGCGTGGCCACCGAGGATGCCCCCTACATTCCAGACAAGCCGAAAAAAAATCGACCAACCTCCAAATGTTCATGGTAGCGGTGCAGATGACGGGATGGAGGCCAGCATCGGTGAGCAGGTTGCCAAAAACCAGAACGTCAAGGGCTGCTGAGTGCGGTAGTGCTTCAAAATTTGCTCAGCGCAAAGGAGCCGCTGGGGTTTTAAAGGAAACCCACGCGCACCCTAGGTGACCCCTACAAACTGGAACAAGCTCAAACCTTGGACCCCAACCCGCGGAGCTGGATTTTGAAGGACCATGATGAGGCTGATGAGGAGGCTGTCTTGGAGGAGGAAGGCCATCGGCCTGACTCGTCATAGCCTTGGCCATACTGGGGGTGTACCGAAGTGGTATGTGCCAAATTGGGGCCTATTCCAGGTCGTAGAGTTATTCCTCCCAATTGGAAGGTTCTGCACACCACCTCTATAGGGTGCACGTGCCCAGTGGCAGCCAAGTGCCTGGTCCGAGCACATGGGCATGAAGTCTCAATGAGCTTGTGGTTCTGATGCGCCCTGCACAATGCGCCCCAAGCCAGCGATATTCAACTCTGTCTGCAAAACATTGGAGTCGTTAAAGCCAGTCCTGCCGCGGGGCGTATACCACAGAAAGCCTACGATTTCCCGCAAAATGTCTTGTTCGTTCCATGTCAATTGAAAGTTTAAAGATGAAGCACGTCAAATCCAAAGTTTGCTCTCAATCTGCATGGGGTAGCTAGGGCGCCTTCCGATAGGAGATGGGCTTTGAAGTTAAAGCCTTAAGCAATTAAACGGCTGGACGGCCCTTCTGAGTATTTGCGCCAAGCAAGCAGAGCTCTTTTCTTTCATCTACTTGTCATCTTACGCAAGAGTTGCACGTAACAGACCCCAGAAATGCTGCGGAGTCCCTTTGGGACCAGAACTTGCAGGAAGCCCCTACTAGTGATAGTAGTTTCCATTTTCCATCATCCCTCCCTATGTAAAAATAGATAATCCCTATAATCCCTGTAGTTTCCATTTTATTTTCCACTATCCCAAAATTACCGCAAGTTCCTATAGTAGTTTCCATTTATGTTCCATTCTCCCAAAATTACCCCAATGGGTCCCCAAGTGGTCGGTGCCAGCGCAGCTTTCAGCTTGAAGGCTTGGCAAAGCGCGTGCCTGCAGAGCTTTCAGTTAGAGAAGATTGAGTAGTCGGGTTATATACGGGCAATATAGGGGATAATGGAAAAGAACATGGAAACTACTATTTAAGGGTTTGAGTTGTTGTTGTTTTTTTTATAACACCGGTTTTAGGGTTGAGCGCTATTGGGGTTTAGGCTTCAGGGGCTCAAGTTTAGGGCCAGGCGACAACTTGAGGTGAAGTTTCTGGCCAGATTCGATTGATTTCCGGTCAAGAAGATGCCATCCTCGCTGTGGAGCACACCCCAGGAAGAGGTATTGTATGCAAGTCAACGCTATATCCAGGGTGTAGGGTCTAGAGTCTAGATTTTGGAGTTGAGGGTTTATAGACCCTGGGGTAGGATTCCAAGTCAAACGTTGCTGATCGAGGCAGGCAGCTGGTAGCAGCTGGTAGCCAGGCAATTAGATAGAGGACTCAGTACAGTAATTAAGAGGAACAGGTTATCACAGGGATTATCTTCCTTCATCACAGGAGGCACGCTTTTGGCTGCCAAGCCGTGTGTGGACAGTCAATTTGAGGCTGACAGACCTCTGCGGAGTGCCCTTTTAATGGGGGCTGGTCATCGGTGGGGCAAAAACGGATCAATGCTGTGCCGAGCCTCTTGGTTATTTCTCGCCAGCTGCTTCTAGTCCAGAAAGCTTGAAGCGTTTTGCGTCAGTGGTTTGGCTTCAGAAGGGAGAAGAATGAGAAGACTGCACAGAAGCACCTTCCCGCCATGCAACCTTTCGAGCTGCAGCTTGCATACTGTGCTCTGATTCTGTTGCAACAGAGAGCAAACTTACGGGAGCACATAGCGTTACCAGAGCGCCATGCTGATGGCGGCATTCCCCGCAATTGTTTAGGCCAGGATGCCTCAGTGCCTCCTTGCAGTGAAGGGAACCACATGAGCTACAGTCTAAACTCCTTAAAGGGGGGTTATATAGGGGATTATATAGGGAACTACTATAGGGGATATTAAGGGGGATACCAGGAGTTTAGACTATAACCCCTATAATCCCCTATATAATCCCAGTTTCCAGTTCATTTTCCATTTTCCCTCCTGGAGGATCATCTCAACGTGGCAAGGGCAATT